TATGAACTGTCAGCCATAGAATAAACTGATGCCTAGGAATAATTCCTTTTACTAGGGCCAAACTTTTCCATGAAACTTTTGGAGATGTAGGTATAAAGTGTTGAGAGGCCTTCTTGATGCTGAACTTCTCTCTATCTTCAAATGATTTAAGGCAGTCCATCACATTCCCAGATTGAGTCAATCATTTCCTTGCATCAAATATCTTTCTCACTAACCAGCTGGCTTGGCTTGGGGATGACATGTTGTTCAGCTCCCTGCCCTTTATGTATATACTATGGATCTATTGAACCCACAGTTTGTCCTTTTTTTTACCCACTGCCCACAGTAGCTTGCAGATTGCAATTTTATTCCATGTAAAGAAGTCCAATATATTTAATCCTCTTGCTGCTTTAGGAAGGCATACTATACCCCATGTTATTAAGGCTCTTCTTGAGTATTCATTACTCCTAGTCCACAAGAAATTCCTACATACATTTGTCACCATAGTCAAAATCTTCTTAGGCAGAAGGAATACTTGGGCCCAATATGTCTGCATCTCGAACAATACACTCTTGATGAGCTGCACTCTTCCACTGTATGATAGGAACTTAGTGGTCCAACATTGAATTCTAGCAATTATCTTTTCAACCAAGGGTAGACATTGATGAATAGAAAGTTTCCTTGAAGACAATGGAATACCTAAGTATTTGAATGTCATCTCCCCAATAGTGAAATGCATATCTTGCATTATCTGAGCTTTAAACTCTTGTGTCACTCCTGCAACATAGAATGAACTCTTCTCCAGATTGGCCTTCAGTCCAGAAACACTAGAAAAGTGCTCAAATGCTTGCACCATGAGTAGAATAGAAACCTTGTTTGCCCTGCAACACATCAGTAAATCATCCGCAAAGAAAATATTAACTATTTCCTTTTTTGCACATCTCGGGTGATAGTTAAAATCAGGGTTGTTCCTTGGTTGCTTCAAGGATCTATTTAGGTACTCCATAGCTATAACAAATAGATATGGGGACATGGGGTCCCCTTGTCTCAACCCTCTCTTAGCATGAAATATAGAAGTTAGACCACCATTTATAAGCAATGAATAGCTGACTGTAGAAACACAATTCATGATCAAATTGACCAGCTTATGGGGAAATCCAAATTCCATTAGCACTTGCCTCAGGAAGTCCCAATTCAGAGAATCATATGTTTTTCTGATATCTACTTTTACTAGGCATCTAGGAGATACTCCTTTTTTCCCATAGCCCTTCACTAACTCATGAGCTACAATCACATTGTCCAGAATATTTCGACCATCAATGAATGCAAATTGAGATGGACCCACCAGGTAATCAACCATGGGTTTTATTTTTTTGGTTAGCACCTTTGCAACAATCTTATAGACAGTACTACAACAAGCTATAGGTCTGAAATCTTTAGCATAAGATGGACAAGAAACATTAGGAACCAAGGTGATTGTGGTACAGTTTACCTCTCTTAACAGTTTACCATTGTCAAAAAATTGTAAGATGGCCTTAATCATGTCTTCTCCTACTGTCTCCCAATGTGCTTTGAAGAATTCAGCTGTAAATCCATCTATACCAGGGGCTTTATCATTTGGAAGGTCTTTAACAACTTGGATTATATCTTCTCTAGTAACTGGTTTTAGTAATTCTTGCTGCTGGATCAATGAAAGGCATGGACCATCTCTAGCAATAGTAGTATCAATACAAGGCATTAGTGACTCATCATCTCCCATCAACTGCTTATAATATTCCAAGAATTGTCGTTGTACCAAATCTGGCTCTGAGAGTAGGACTCATTGATCATTGCAAATAGAAGATATCCTGTTCCTGGCTTGTCTTGCTTTCAGTTGTGCATGAAAATACTTGGTGTTGGCATTTCCATATGATATCCATGTAGCTCTGGACTTCTGCCTTAGTATTTGCTCTTGAATTCCCATCCACTTTTCCAACTGAGTAAGTAGTTCTTTCTCCTCAGTTATTAACTGATTATTGAACATGTCATTGGCTATTTGGTTCTACACTTCCTGCACCCTCTGTTGTAATTTTTCAACTCTAATCTCTGTGGTAGATATCTCTTTGTTCATCACCCTTGCTTCACTTTTCAATGCCTTAAGCTTCATCCATAGTCTATATATATGATATCCAATGATGTTTTGCTCCCAACATTGTTTTACAGCTTTCTTAAATGAGTCCTGCGTGATTAGTACATTGAGGAGTCTGAAAGGTCTTTTCAACTTTTGTCGAGGGATCAGTGTTCTGATAACAATGGAAGTATGATCTGAGCATTCTAGATTATAGTAAACAGCCTCCAGATTTCCATATTCTTGAAACCACTTATCATTACCCATCACCCAGTCAATATGGCTATAAATTCTATCATCTCCATCTCTCTTATGACACCATGAGTATTGCCAACCTTTTCTATTAACTTGGCCCAGTCCAATATCAGTGACACAAGATTGAAATTCAATTGTTTCATTTACATGTACTGGCAACCTATTAATTCTATCTTCTGTGGAGAGAATAGCATTGAAATCACCAAGAATAATCCAAGGCTCAATAGTATAAGTGCTAATGTGCCTTAGTGTCTCCCATAGTACCCTTCTGCCCCCTGCAGTATTGTAACCATATACAAAAGACATCTTGCATTGGAACTGAGAGTTCTTATCTCCGACAGAGTAGTGTACCACATGTAGGGTACTTTCCAAAATAGTAACATTTACACAGCTTTGTCTCCAGCATAGCCATATTCTACCATTTGGGACTTGAGTATAATCATAATGAAATCTCCAATTTGTATGAAATTTTCTAGTAATATTTTTGGTATTTTTTTTGTCTATCTTTTGTTTCTAGACATCCTATTAAGTCAATTTTATTTTTGAGCAAAAAGTTTTTGAATTCTTTTTGCTTAAAGGACTTGTTTAGCCCCATAATATTCCATGAGCAGAAAATCATGGGGGAGGTTTGGCAATAGGACCATCCCTCTGCAACTTTCCAGTATTACCTTTTCTGCTCCCCTTAATTCTTCTACTTGCAGGTTCTCCAATCTTTAAACATAGCTTACTGAATTGATTAAGATCCAATTCATTATCTGACTCTTCATCTGTCTGTGGGATCTCCTTACTTCCTTGAAACACTACCACTTGCTTCCCTCTAAATTGAACTTGGGAAGGGGCAGTGTGAGTTTCCTCCTGGTGTATGTAGAAGTATGAACTTGGGAAGGGGCAGTTTGAGTTTCCTCCTGGTGTATCACTGTTGTAGGAGCTGTTGTTTCTTCTATCTTAGCTTTTGGTTTAGGCTACCATACTTGCCTAGTGTGTTTATCTTGACTGGGATTCCTGATAAAGCCTTGCAGTCCCTGCTTCTATTTTGGACAGTTCTCCTTTTGATGTCCAACCTGCATACACTCTTGACATAGAGTAGGCTTCCATTCATACTCAATTTTTTGGCTCCAAATACCACCATCTGGTACTTCAACATTAACAGATTCAGGTAATATTTGGGTGATTTCCATCTCAATTAGAACTCTTGCATAAGATATTCTTTTACCTTTAGCTGTTAGAACATCAGTGCACATAGGTTTGCCTAGGAAACTAGCAATTCTCCCTAGGTTTTCCTCAGACTAATATAGGAGTGGCAATCCAGGGAAACACACCCATATTGGTAATATACGCATTGCTTCCTTGTGCAACTGAAATTCTGGACTCCATTGTTTCAGAATCATTGGCCTATTCCTAAATGTGTAAGGCCCATTTTGTATTATGCAGGCTTTGTCCTCTTCAGATTCAAATTGAAAAATATAGTACCCATCATCATGTAGAAAGACCCTAGGTGTGTTCATAAAATGCCAAACCCCATATACAAACTGAAGCATTTCCTTGAATTTTGGGGTTCCTCCAAACACATACCCAATAAGCGCACATTGTCATTTCTGCTTCTGTTTATCAATCTCCTGTTTATTCAATTGCACAACCTTGATCCCATCTTTCATCACTGGAGGATAGAATTTGAGTTTCATACCTTGATTTTGTGTTCGATTATTCTTCACCACCTTTGCTAGTGTTGGCGTTGCATGTGGCATCTTTGTTGCAAAGGTCAATTTCCGGCCAGGTTGGGTATGAACTTCTTCTCCATTTTTAACTTGCTGGGTTTCCCTTTTCTCAGCCTGACTTGAGGTCCCTAGTAACCAGCTAGCCCGCTGTATTGGGGCTAGATTTTGCTGTACCCCTGAAGCTGGAGTGATTTGTCAGATTCTGATTTTTGGATCGATTCCTCTGTTTGCTGAACTTTAGGTTTCAACTCTTGTAGTTTTCCATGCGAAGATGCTGTTTGTGTATCCCTCTCTTCTGTCTCCGGGGTAGGGCTTTGAATCTGATCGGGTTTTGGATCAGTAATTTTTTAGTAGTGGTTGGGGTATAGACTTGAGGGGCTCTCCTTTTCCGGCGAGCCATGGTGGTGGTGCACGTTAGCAGACCTTGCTTAACATACACATGTGGACTTTCTCTCTCCTCTCTCCTATAATCTGCTCTTTGAATTTGTGGTCCTAAACAAGTTAAAAATGGGCCCAGAGTATGTGTGTGGTTATAAAAGCTTCTTATTAAGGGTAGAATCGTAAGTTTAAGCTAAATTGTTACTAAATTTAGAAATGAGTCATTCTTTTTGGAACAGACCGAAAAGAAAATAGGTTCACATAAACTGGAACGGATGGAGTATTTAACATGTCATATCTTTATATAAATTTGTATTATGAGGAAAAAAATGAATGCTAATATTAAAGCCATTCAAATATAATTAAGTGTTAATCTTTTTTTAGATGGATTAAATAGAAGAAGAGTGTCAAATAAAGCTTAATATCCGAATAGCAATGAAAATTAAATTATTATATGAAGGATTATGGACCACCATTAAAACTTGTGGCTGAGAAAATTAGTGGGTGGTGACGTGGCGACACCTTTAAATTCAAGGATATCAAATTCACAGTCTATAGAACGCCAACTGGTTTTGCTTCTAAACTCCGCATCAAAAAGAAGAAAAAGAATCAATCTTGAATCCACGTCAGCTCGCCGCCGGCGACTCCACAACCACTGCTACAAGAGTTGAAGAGTCTTCCTATACGTTCCCCTTCCAATTTTCTGAATTCTCCTTTTCTTTTTCTCTGGAAAATATGACGTGTGAATCAGAAATCAAGCTGTTCGGTAAGATACTTCCGATGGTCGTGTCCGGCGAATCTACCGGCGCCGGTAGGTCTAGGATTGATAATCGGATTAGCACTGGGTTTGATGTTGATCAATATTTAGAGGACAATAGAACAAGCAGTTCAGAGAATGATGAAGGAAGTGAGTCAATTGACTACGAAAATCAAACAGCTGACAAGGTACAGTTTCAAAATTTCAACTGTTTAATTTTGGTTGAAAAATTAATGGATTTCAATAGAAAGAAATACGTACTTCCTAATTTGAGATTTTCCTTAATTTGGTTATGAATTTTAAAAGTAAGTCCTCTTGGATGTTGAATTGGAAAATGGAAAACTAAAGCTAAGGTGGATCCAAAATTTTAAGACAATTGACTTTGATATTAGTGCATCTAATACTCCTTTGTGGTTGGGTGGAAATTTCGGGTATAAATTTACAATTTTTAAGGTATTTCAACTATATATGTGCAGATTAAGTAGTTTGGAGAATACACTTACTAAGTTCTAGATCCATCACTGCTCAGTGTTCTTTTATAATGGATTAATTGAGAATTCAAAACACCTAATTAGATGTTCCTGGGTCATAATTTATGTGTTTATTCAATTATGTTCCACCTTTACCATATAAGTTGAATCAATGAAATGGGGAAAAGTAAGCTGCTCGGTACTTTTTCCTTTTTACCATTTTGAGGAAGAATCTTTCAGGAGAGGTTACAAACTTGTCTATGCTCACTATTTGTGATGATTTTTTACCATTAAGTCGCAGTCGATTCTAGCTCAAACTCTTTATTGTAGCTATCTAATTGCAATTTTCACAAGAAGCTCATGCAGTTTTACGTTTTTTATTTTAGGATAATATATCAGGAGAGCTCAGTAAAGACAAATTGGAGGAGGAAGATCAAAATCAGATGATGGAAATATCAGAAGATCCTAAGATTTCATCAGAATCAGATTACAGTCCTAAATCTCCTACTGATGAAGACCCTCAAACAGTAAAATCTGCCGAGAATGAAAATGAACCAAATAATGCAACAGATTCCCAGCAGACACTTAAGAAGCCAGACAAAATTCTCCCATGCCCTCGTTGCAATAGTACGGATACAAAATTCTGTTACTATAATAATAACAATGTCAACCAGCCTCGTCATTTCTGCAGGAGTTGCCAGAGGTATTGGACTGCTGGTGGTACCATGAGGAATCTCCCTGTGGGAGCTGGTCGTCGCAAGAACAAGAATCTTGCATCTCATTATCGTCATATAAGTATCCCTGATGATGTATTACTAGCAGCACAAATTGAATCTCCAAATGGATTTCATCATCCTATGTACAAACCGAATGGCACTGTTCTCTCCTTTGGTCCTGAGTTACCGCTGTGTGAATCTATGGCCTCTGCTTTAAATCCAGCAGAGAAAAGGGCACCGAATGTGATCCCAAATGGCTTTTACAAACAGGAACACAGGAATTCTTCGTGCAAAGGTGGAGAAAATGGCGATGACTGCTCTAAGGGATCTTCCATCAAGACTTCAAATATGATGGTGGAAGGAGGTAACAGCAAGCCGCACGAGGCAGTTATGCGTAATATAAACGGCTTCCTGTCTCCAGCTCCTTGCTTCCACGGAGTACCTTTCCCTTTTCCATGGAATGCTGCAGTTCCTATGTCAGCTATTTACCCCTTTGGATTCCCTATGCCGTTTTACCCTGCACCTTATTGGAACTGCAGTGTGCCTCGTTGGAGTAATCCTTGGCTGAGTCAACCATGTCGAACGGAAAACGAGAAAGCATCAGGTTCTGATCCTAATTCACCTTTAGGGAAGCATTCAAGAGAAGGTGATGATCCTGAGGGCAACGAACCAGTCGAACAAAAGAGTTCAAAAAGGTCTATTTTGGTCCCAAAAACATTGCGAATTGATGATCCTGATGAAGCTGCAAAGAGTTCTATATGGTCAACTCTTGGGATTAAATATGATTCTGCTAGCAGGGGAGGATTTTTTAAGGCTTTGCAACCAAAAATTGATGACAGAGACCACAAAGATAATACATCTCCAGTGTTGCATGCCAACCCTGCAGCCTTATCTAGATCCCTCGTCCTCCAGGAAAGAACCTAAACGTGCTGTCCTATAAAACTCCAAAGAGTTCTTAATGGTCAACGTTTGGAATTTAATATGATTCTGTTGGCTGAGTTTCCAGGTTACAACCAAAAAGTTGTGACAAAATCATAAAACCACAGCATATCCTGTATTGCATGCTAATCTTGCAGCCTTATCTATGTCCTTCAGCTTCAAGAAGAGAGCCTAAAATGATGCTCTCGAAAAATCTCCCGTTCAGCTCTCGCGAAAATTGTTACCAGCTATCCTGTGTTTCCTGCCTGATGGACGATTACAGTGCACAGATCAGTGACAGAGTTGAGAAGGTTGTAGAAACTTGTGTTAATAGTTTTCACTTTTAACATTAAGATCAAGTGGCTGGCCTGGTTGTACTTTGTGTGTTTTCTACTGTACATACATTTACACAGCTAACAATAGAAGGGGAAGACAGATATATTTAGATGCACTAGGTGTAACATATTTGAATCTCAAAGTTTGTTTGGAGAGCACCGCTCCCTGTAAACATTTTTGTTGGTGGTTTAACTAACAATGAACATTTCTTTCAAATTTCTGAAGTCATATTATAGTTTTCATGATCTAAACTGAATGTGTTATTTCTTGATGTGTTTCATAGTAGACATCACAAGGACCTAAAGAATCTTAAGAAAACAGAAAGGCTTTTCAAAGATCATTCCTATGGAAAAATAATTGCAGAAATGCATTTATAATAATAACAACTGCTAATACCTCTACTTGACCTGCAGTTACAAGAATTGTTTTACCTGATAATTAGACACGAAATGAATTAGCTGAATTAGTTGACAATCAATCAATTAATTACACTCCAATCCCAAATTAACTGGATTTATCGCTAATATCAAGGAAACTGTTTCATCTGATGTGGACATTTGAATATGGCCTGGTGGGCAGTTAGAAAATCAGAGCAATTTTGTATTACCTGTTGGAGTTGGCAATTTATCCATAGGAAACAAAGTGGATATTTCTGATGGGGCCAGGCAACTCTAAGCCACATCTTATGATTAAAAATAGTTGGCTTTGGGTCCCAAATCCCATATGCTCATAATGGTGAATGCATTTGGCACTTTAACTTTCTTTTCTTTTTCCCTTCTCTTCTTTTGGTTTTTCCTTTTTCCCTTTAAAAGGCATTTATTATACGTATGGACATACCTTTCTGTATCTGTATATTCTTTCTTTTATGTTTCTTTGACAATTGATAATCCAAGATTGAGATTGTTCCCGGTAGGGTTCATCAATTTCTAGCCATTCCTTTTTCCTTACAAAATCTACCTATAAACTTTGCAGCTCCTATGTAAATTTATTACTGCTTGAAGTTTTCAATAGAAAATTAACTTAACGTAGAGCAACAACAACAATAACAACGATTCAATAAAATCTCACTTGTGATGTCTGTGGATGTTAATGTGACGCAGAGCTTATCCCTACCCCGAGAGAATAGAGAAGTTGTTTCCGAAAGACCTTCGGCTCAATAAGACGAAAAGAAACAATATATCAATACCATCAACAGAAACCAAAGGAATACTAACAGCATCATAAAAGCAAAAAAAAAATAGATAAAAACAATAGCAATAATTAATAAATAGACCCGACACTATAAAACGAAAGAGTAGGGAGAACACAATATTAATCGGTAGTAGTCTAAGACAAAAATCCTATCAGACTAGCCTCATAAAGTTACGATCTTACGCTACTTATTAATTTTTTCCTTTTTGATAATGACAAACTTAGAATTATTGATATTTCTCATGAGAACCAAATCCCCACATTGTTTCCCCTACGAATCAGCCATATTCCCCTTGAGAACGTGTTTTCTCCCTTTCAATTTTCAATTAATATAGCTGTTGCCAGTCTGGTTCCTCAAGAGTGTTTGGAAAATCATCTAAATACGAAATAACATAACTTATCAATTTCCCCCTTTTTGATGATGACAAACCCAAAATTGATATTTCCCCTGAGAACCAGATTCCTTACAAGTTCCCCCCTACAGATTAGATCGATAAGCAATATGTTAACAACAATGTTCCCCCTACGAAGTAGACCTATCTTTCATGCACAACACAACATATTAATTCAAGTTTGTTATTCCCCCCTGTTGACACCTATGTAACTTACTCCTTTGGCATCATTGAAAAGAATAACAAAAGAGGCACAACCAAAACGAAGTTCAACAACATTAACTCATGCCACTTGGACAACACAGCAGAAACAATAACAATAACAACAAGTGAATTTCATTGAACAGAATAGAGTGATTGCCCATAGTAGAGTAATTATAATAAAATCACAGTAGTTTCAATAATACAGAATATAATAATTTAAACAACTAAAGTACCAATGCCATCAAACATAGGAGTCAAAAAAAGATAGGAATTCGAGGAAATCTGGAAAGGGTGAAAGACATGGATCACTAGGCAGGAAGAAAATTAAGGGGCTAAGGCCTTGATGAGCTTGTCCATTTGTTCATTCACAATCCTCTGATCAATGATCATATGCTCTCTCAGGTCCTCAACCTGTTTCCTCAATCTTTTATTCTCACCCTTCAATTGAGCATTCTATTATGCCACTAAACCAGGGGGCCTGGTTCTCTACTTCTCTGGGCGAGGTGAACTGTCAGTCGAAACACCATGAATCTAATCAAGCTTCTCCTCATCAAGAACAAATCCAGTCCCATCCACATACAACATCAGAGTATTATCATCAGTAACACACAAATTCGCATAGAAGTGTTTACTTTTTCTTCATAATCTTTGTGACTTGTAGGAACAAAGAGGTGATTCTATTTTTAAAACTCAACACTGTCAAGAAGTTCCTCTATTTTTCAACAATATCCAAGTCAAACACTCAACCCAACATCATATTTTGAGACTTTAGAGTCTACTTCCTGATAACTCAACCTTTTGCTTCAATAAGGAACCAGGCTCCTCACTCACACTACCCTTTCTTTTTCTGATGGTCGGGTCTCCCTTTTCTTCTTCTCAATTTGTTCACCCTTATCATCTGTTGCATCTTTCTCATCCGACTTTCTTTTCTCCATTTTGCTTTTTTTTTAAAATCTTTCTCACAAGTGAAGATTTTTCCATTTATTCTTTCTTCTACATTTACTATATTAGTAGGTCGCCACTTCATCATCAATCAACTTACTTTACATCAATCCTCTTTACTGGATTGGAGGTTCATTTAAACATAGAGCTCAAGAGAAAAAGATCATTATCAGAATTAACATCCTCAGAAGGACTTGAGGGACCGGGTCCCTCATTCAGCTCCCCTTTTTCAAGCACATTTACCAATTCCTCCATTCTTCAAGAGTTCTACAACGCTGGCAACAATTTTAACCTCGCTCTCTAGAATATTAGATCTACCTTGTTCCCTTTCAGTTAAACTCCCATCAAAATCCACCAAAGACTTCTTGGGGTTTTGATTCAGATGGAGTTAGCATTTTGGAAGGTGACTGAGTTGGGTTCATTTAAGGCATATTTGGAGAGAAAGATTCTTTTTGAGACAAGGTTGATTTTGATATAGAAGAAAAGAATCGATTTTAGTTGGATGTAAGAACAGGAATTTTTTTTTGGGAAACGAGTCAGTTCAGAAAAGGTTTACATTTTGGACTTCAAAAATAGTAGAGAGGTGAAAATAAATTAATGACATGACACTTCAGTAGTTTAAAAATGCATATAAGTATTGAAGAGACTACTAGCCTAAGTCACATGAACCAAGTTCCTTGATGGTTTTTGAAAATTTGAGCAAAAACTTCTAGAATTGCAATGTCACTCTTACTTATTTTGTCCAGAAACCGCCATGTGTGTATACCTGTAATAGTATAGATTTGAGTTAGATGTCGCCAAAAAATATATTTTAGCATTGTACCCTTCCTTCTTAACATAGCCAATCATCGAGGGACCAGGTCCTTGATTGAGCTTGATCAATCCCAACTCCAGACGATTTCTTTCAGATTGTTCCTTGCTCAGCGCCTTGGTGAATATGTTTTCTACTTGGTCCCCCGTCTTCCAGAACTTCATACAAATCAAACCCTTTTCAACATTATCTCTCAAAAAGTGATGTCGCATATCATTGTGCTTTGTCCTCTTGTGCTATAATAGAGTTAAGATGTAAATACACCAAAGTCTTTAAGTTGTTTCTTGATCTATAGTAGTTGAGCACAACAAGAAGCAGAAATTACGTATTCAACTTTAGCAGTAGAAAGAGCCACAAAGTTTTATCTTTGTACCCTATAAGATCAAGCCTGACCCCAGAAAATGTTCCATTGCAGATGTGCTCTTTCTATCCACCAGATATCCAATATAATCAGCATCATCATGTCCAACCAAGTCAAAATTATCTCCTAAAAAATAGACGAGGACCATGTCCCACGTTCCCTTAGGATCCCTCAAAATTCTTTTGGCATCCTTCAAGTGAGATTCTTTTTGTCCAGGTTCCTATCACTGTTCTGTTTGAAGGCCTAGGGACCAGGTACCACACTTTGTTCCTTTCAAACTAATGGAGTTCTTCTTGCATAACATCTATTCAGTTAGAATTTTCCAATGCTTTTTAGATGTTTTTAGACTCGATTTGAGACAAGAAGGCTGAGAGGGCAAACATGTTCCTTGCTTTAGATCTAGGTTGAATACCAGAGTCTAAGGGTGTGATTACATTTTGAAGGGGATGTGAACTCTTTTGCTTCTAGTTGGATACTTGAACTTCAGAATTTGAAGGACCAGGTTCCTCCATATTTGAAGTATCATTGACATCAACAGAATTATGACTTCCATTCCTTGGTTCTGCATCACGAGTACCTAATACAACATCACCAACCCTATGCTTAGCTTCAGTCGAGGTGATAGAGGGATCAAGTTCCTCTATGCCTTTTGGAGATTTTGCTGCATCTTCTTCATCACTCTGCTTGACTTGACTCATCAAATCAGTCTTTCCGTTGGCAATATGTATGGCTTCTCCTGGAACCTTTGATAAATCACCATCTTTATTTTTTTTGTTATGTGACCCTTTGTCACCATTGTTGAGAACAATACATTTCCATCCAAAGGCTCTCAAGTAAGTCAACTTGGATTTTTCTCATTGAGCAGTTCATAGAGAGTCTTATCGAGAAGGGAACTGATCATGCACCTGTTAATCAAGTAAGATGCAATATTAACTGCTTAAACCCATGAACCAGGTCCTCTATGACCAACTTGTTAAGCAAAGAAAGACTCGCATACCTCGATCGTCTATGCCATAACTTAGCATCATCATCATCAATGGAACTTAGGCATGTTAGATCATCACAATCCAGTGAGTTAAAGTCTGGAACATAGATGTTCTTGAATCTTTTGACTATCAACACCACTTCACTAGTTTTGAGATTTGCGACAATGCAAGATTTTGACAAGAACTTCAATACACTTCCCTTTGTCACGGATTTGAGACATACTTAACAAGCAATATTTAAAGACATTCACATAGTATATATTTTCAATTGCATGAGAGAGTGTTTTGCGAATTTTGACAACCAAAAGAATATAACCCTTCTTGCCATTTTCGAAGGACAC